CGAGCCGAACACGAGTTGATTGTGAACAAAGACTCGTTTTGACAACTCTAATCACGTAGTCATAAGATGTTAAAAGTTGGGGTAAGATTTAAAAATTAATGTTTATATGAAAACATCATTTGAATCTAATTTAATAATTTGCATTCTATATTCTTAATTAATATTTTTAATTGATTATAAATCTTTGTAGCCTTGTAAAAATACTACTCTCTGTCTCTCTCTCTCTCTCTCTCTCTCTCTCCCACACACACACATACACAAACATAATTGATGAGTAGCATTTCGAGCCAAAACGAGCTGAATACAAACAAACAAATCTTTGTTCGTGTTCTGCTTGTTAACCTAGCGAACGAGCCAAACACGAGCTGTTCGCAAACAACAAGCCGTTTTGACAGCCCTACAGTTAACAATGCTACTGTTCTGTTACGTGGGTGTCTAACGTAAAGGCTGTTTGGTATTTTGCGTGCCTAAAGGCAATTTAATCTTTTATTATTGTTGTTGTTAGACATAAATAAGCTATTATGTTTCGAGTAGCTTTATGCATGAGATTGTTGTTATAAGACTTAGGTTTATGGTTTGGTAGAGATTTCCTATCCCTTGAATTGTAGAAATTGGAAGAGATCATCTGACTCTCAAATTGTAGGTATTTATCTTTTGTATTTGAATTGAGTTGTTTGGATTATTAAAAGAAAAATCTTTGCTTTGCCCTAATTCCGAGGAAATTTGTGCCGATTTTGCACCAGATCGTATCAAGTTGCCCCCAGGAAAAAATTCTCATAATTTTAGTCGCACTTCAAATTTTCTGATCAAAGCCCAATTGAAGTTGAGACATTAATTCGAAATAATATCTATAAACCGATAATAGATTAGCCAATGCAGTGAATTTCAGTCAAGTTTATGTAGATCAAATAAAAAAAAAGGGACTGATCCAGCTTATGGAGCTCTGTAACCATTGCAGGATCCCAAGGAAATATTCATGTATGAAGCCTCACCTCTACATTCCAAAGGAAAACCCCCTTGAAAGTTTTCTGCTGTCAATTCCATTTGCCACAATGAAAATTTTTAACATACTAATATGCTACATTCTATGTTCCATCATACAATGCATGTAACAGAGCTCATAACATAACAACAAAGCATCTCAACTCAAATTTCTGAAAACATTAGAATAGAGCTAAATCAACAAAATAAATTTAAAAACCCATGATAATAATTGCACAAAATAATTTATCTAATCGTGCATAAATTTTGATGTAATTTTTTATCTCAAAGTGCCCAACTATTCGAATAAAAAACTTTTAGAATCAACTCCAGGACCTTCTGAACTCTATTTTTAATAAACTTGTAATCGAAATAAGTGTCTTGATGAGATAAAGTCAATGATACCAAAACATCTTGATTTGAGATGTCGAATGATCTCTAATTTTTGTTCTTATAATCGAAACAATAATTTTGACAAGACAAATCCACCAAGCCTAAGATTTTTCAAGTCTAACATTATCAAAACACTGTGATGCATAAAAAATAATGCATGATTAAGTGGTCATCACATATCATCTAATGGACTGTTCGAATTTTTAGACAAAAATGACCAAGACATCTCCTTCTAAAAAAAAAAAAGGCATTACTTCTACAAATTCAAAGGTGGGGGAAGGTTTGAGTGAAAGGAGAATGGTTAACATAGACCTATTATCACTTGATGCTCATCGTCAACACTAATTCCAATATTTAATATGACACTAACACCACTCATTTGGATAGGGTTAGCACCTATCATCGAAAATTAACATTATCATTGAACCGTCTAAAAGCTGGCACTAATAAGAGGATGCATGTTGTCAACGCGAAGGCTTACATGTGCCTTCAACACCATGGCTAAGGTTTGTAGTCACCAATAAGGTTGGTACCCTCCGTCAACACCCGCCTCAACATCATCAACGTTTACACCTATCTTTGTACCAACACTAATGCAATTCAAGGACATAAATGCTGATGTCCGCTTTCGCCTACAAAGTTAACGCCCATTATTGACAACAATTTTGACACTCATTGTCTCCTACAGACCGATAATAGCTTCCTATACCAATGCCAACAACAACAACAAAACCCACCTTCGCTAAAATCACTAAAAACATCAGTGCCCTTTGTCTTCACCAAAAATGATGCCCTATATGACCAACAACACTTATCATCTCTACTAAGGCTAAAGCCTGTGTCGTTCTCTATAGCAACAAGACTGATGCTTGTCATCAATAACAAGATGAAAATGAGGCTGATGCCTATACAATGCCTCGCTGCAACAATATTCTCTATTATTTCTTCTTCAATCCTTCTCTATATTCTTCATCTCACCACCACGACTGAAATTTGACACAGCCTTACCAAAAAGTTTCAAGCCGATTTATATACCAGTATTATTTGAAAGGTCTACCAATTTATATATATATATATATATATATATATATATAATCAGTATTATTTTTAAATAGCATAATTGACCATAAGGCAACAAAGATTTATAATCAATTAAAATTACTAATTAAAAATATAATAAAAATATTAAATTCTATCCAAATGAATATTTTATTATGAATAACAAGATTTAAATCTCGCTCTGCCTTTAACATCCTACGGCTGTGTGATTAGGGTTGTCAAAAAAACTCATTTTCGTCAATAACTCGTGTTTGACTCAATAAGCAAGCGAGCCAAATATATCAATTTTTTTAGCTCGATACATAAACGAGTCAAACACGAACAATGATATTTTTTAATAAGCCAAGTCTGGACTGGCTCAAGCTCAGCTCGATTACACTCCTAACAGGCAACGGCTGAATGCATGACTAGGGTTGTTAAAATGGTTTTATGTTTGCAAATAGCTCGTGTTCGGCTCGCTAAGCAAACAAGCCAAACACGAACAATTTTTTTTATGTTCAAAATATAAACGAGCCGAACACAAAAAGTGATTTTTTTAACGATCCGAACACGATCTGAGACCAGAACACGATCGGAGACCAGGCTCACTCATGTTCGGTTCGTTTACACCCCCTACTTGCAAATAGTGTTGTTCTAAAAAATAATCGTGTGATGTAAGAGAGCATAAAATCATCCAAGGATATGCAAGATACTACTCCCTAATAATTCTAGCTAAATTGCATTCTTCACTTTGTAGGAGAGCATAAAAGTCTTCAAGACTTGAAGGATGCAATTTAGTACGAATCGCAGTTTTAAATCCCTGATAAGATGAAGGAAGCCCATTTAACGTGTAGAGGATAATGTCCTCATTGTCGAGTTTGGAGCAGGCTGCGGCAATATGATCGACTAAATTCTTGATAGTTATAAGATATTGATTCATAGTATTGGTCCCCATAGTTATGTTGTGTAACTCATTCTTGAGTTGATTTAGAAGAGACCGGTTGGTAACTTGAAATTGTTTGGCAAGGTTGTTCCGAATTTCAGGCGTTGTGGTGAGATGAAGAATATAGAAAAGGATTGAAGAAGAAATAGTAGAATATATTGTTGTTGTAAGGTTTCGTTTGACAAGATGCCACAGATGGTAATCTTGCTTCTCGATGGGATCGCAGTTTTAACTCAGCACAAAATTCAATCTCAAAACCCTTGGCACAATATCACACTTTCTTGGGCTTTATATTCACAAAACATCAGAATGTTATTTTTAGAACAACAACACTACTTGCAAGACCTTTTACATAAAACTGTTGTGTCACAAGCTTAACTAGTTCTTACTCTACCGACTAATGATCACAAACAAATTATTCCTTCAACGCTTATGTCTGATCCATAACAGTATAGGACAACAATTGGATCTCTCCAATACGTAACTGTTACTCGTCCAGACAAATCATTTACAGTGAACAATTTAAGTCAGCAAATGCATCAACCCACATTACTTCACTATCAAAAATTAAAAAGACTTTTACGTTATTAAAAGGAACTCCAAATCACGGGCTTCCTATTATATATGACCCTATGGCTTTAAGAACTTACACAGATGTCGACCGGGCTAGCGACACCACATATAGGAGATCTATCTCCGGCTTTTGTATTTTCATAGAACCGAAACTCCTCTCGTGGTCTGCTGAAAAAAAGCCTACAGTGGCTCGATCCTCCACAGAAGCCGAGTACAGAATGTTAGCCAATTCTACCACAGAAATTCTTTGGACGCAAAGACTGCTACATGAGCTCACTATCACCCCAACCTCTCCTACTATTCTCTCTAGTGATAGCACCTCCGCCATAGCTTTGGCACACAACCCGGTGTTTCACTCATGAACTAAGCACATATAAGGATTATTACTTCATCAGAGATCATCTCCAACACAAGAACATTGACTTAGAACATTTAATGTTTGAAGATCAAGTTGCATATATACTTATAAAAGCCCTTCCAATCAAACGACACCATCACTTTACCAGCAAACTGACGATCTCCCCTCTCGATCATCGCTTCAGCACTTTGCTCTCATCTTGTCCAGTCGCATCTCTGCTTCCTCTGGTTTGCCTCTCTTCTGCTCGGGTTTTCCCTTTGCAGCTGCTAGGGCTTCTACAAGGGAAAGTTTAATCTTATATTAGTTAATATAAAGTGTAAATTAAATGTAAAATTACTATTTTATCCTTTAGCATAATTACAAGTATGCCACAACAGATGTTTATAAATGTAACTCTTCTTCCTGTACGAAGGTAATGTAATTGAATTAAATGTAGTGTGGTAAAGTCTGTATTCTTATCTTTTTTTCAGGCTTCAAGTTCATCTTCTACTTTTCTCTTCTCTTCTACTACTTCTTCTTCTCTTTTCTCTCTGTATAAAGATTCCTTAATGCCTGCCATCACAAATAATGTGGACGCTCTCTGTGCCCAGCAAAGTTGACAATACCGGCCATCACTAATGTTTATTGCGAGTAAGTTTATGAAGAACGTTTAGTTTACTGAGTAGAGAAAAATTAGGCTTCACAACTTAACAAAAACAAATAACCATCGTCTCATGACTAGCAACAAATTCACTCTACTGAAACCACACTTTATATAAGCAGAAACAAGCGCTTTCACAGCTTTCAGAGCAGTCAGTATCATTACAAGCTTTCCAATCTCAATAACAATTGTAGCAATGCAAATAGTTTTTACATACTAACATATGCAATACTCTATGGTCCATAAAACACTTGCAAGCAAATCACATCATCTCAAGCTATCACAATAAAAGATGATCACCAAGGCAAATCATAATAAATCACACCAATATAATTATAGTGTACCGATAATGGAATCCCCACTGCACTGAAACTCGCAGATTCATGGCATGCTATCCCCAGCCCTATTCAGATTCCACCCCAGCTGTGCGTATCCAGCATGTCCAGCCCAAACTGTTCATCGTTGGTCACCGACGAGGGACAGTTAGAAGACTCTCCGCCATTGCTGCAGTTGTTGTACCAATCAGGAAGAACAGTCTTTGGTACTGCTGTCTCTGCCAGAATCATGTCAATCAGTGCGGATCCATCTGTCTCCAGCATCTCTTCTATCATTTTAATACCTGAAATAGGAAGAAGAAAAAGAGTTGAGACCTTTGAAGCTACCTGAAACAGAAAAATAAAGGAAAAACAGAATTACAGAGTTTTTTCTGAATGGAAAACAGAACAAAACAAATTCATAATCGTTGCATAAAAAGAAAAGAGAATAAAGAGAGAATCCCAATTGCTTATCTTACCAAGAAAATCGATAGCTAAGCACGTGGAACTCAGCAACTTGTCTTCTTTACAAGACTCCTGAATTAGATCATGCAGCAGCCCGCTGTTGCACTGCGGCATCTGCTCACCCCCGTAATTGGAGGAAAATTGGCTTAAAGGGAGCTCCTCCTTCACGGAGTAAGGAAGCGGCCCTAGATCGAAGTTTTCCAACCCTTTCTTAACCGGAGAAGGAAAATACGGAGGCTGGAAGGAGATATTCCTCCCCCGGTTAGGGTCTTCAAAACTAAATCCGTAATGTTCTGAAAGTGGTGGTGACGCTGAAGTGAACGATGACAGTGTGCTTTGGGAGGGTTTTAGCGCCGGCGGCGGTGAATTGGCGGCTATCCAAGGCACGTTCAACTCTGGCTCATCAATCCTTAACGATATAGGCATCCCGACATCCGGCGGGTAGAGAGGCAAATTTGCCTTCTTCCTCTGCTTAATCCTCGTGTTCCAGTAATTCTTTATTTCGTTGTCAGTCCTCCCAGGCAACTACCACCATCGAATCAAAACCATAACAACAAAGAAGAAATTAAAGAAGGGAAAGTGAGAGAACAAAAGGGACGCTCTTACTTGTTTGGCTATGTAAGCCCATTTGTTGCCGTGGCGAGCATGGAGGCGAATGATGAGCGTCTCCTCTTCAAGGGAGAACGATTCCTTCTTCAAATTGGGGCGAAAGTGATTGACCCATCGAAGCCTGCAGCTTTTCCCACAGCGTTGAAGACCGCTGTTTTTCTGAACCGCGTTCCAATTACCTTCTCCATGCTTCCTGACATACTCCTTCAGAATCTTGTCCTCCGCTGGCATCCACGGCCCCTTCTTCAGCAGCTGCCCTCCGCTGTCGATATCTGTGGTACTTGCTCGCTCTTTCTTCACAACTGCTGGCGGCCTCATCTCTCACAAGCTCAAGTACCTTTTTTCAGCGTCTGTACTTCACAATCTTATTCATAAAGCCGCTCGTTGGAGAGAAGAGAACGCATGCAGATTATATATACTGAGTAAAAAATCAAAATTAACCTTTTATTTGGGTGAATTGAATTTAAAAAGAAAAAAAAAAACTCCCTTTTATTTCAGGGAGCGGAGTGGGAGAGGAGGGAGAAGGGAAGTGGCGGGGGGCATGGTTCTCTGGTAGAGGGAGACAGGGTTGGGACCACCCACCGGTGGGTTTGCCGTTGATATAACACCCGCAGCGCCTTTTGTATTTTTTTGTTTTAATATTTCTTTTGTTTTATATTCTAATATGAATAAAAATATGGGTTAGAAACAAAACAATTCAAAATATGTTAAATTATTTTGAATATTTTAATAAAAAATTATCTTAAAAATAAAAAAATATGTATAAATATACCCCGTAAATCTATTTTAAAATAAAATTAAAAATTAAAAATAATAAAATTAATCTTTCATTAATTCGCTGAATGAGTGAAAGGAGAGTAAGCAAAAGATTTCTTCACAAGTAAGTTTTCTTTTTTCTTTCTTAGTTTCTTATTTGAGGCAAAGCTTTCATATCCTAATTTTCAATGCAATATATATATATATA